ATGCCTAAAGGATTTAGGAGCAAAGGGCCAACTTTTGAACAATGCCTAAAAGACTTAGGAGCCCAGTTCCCATTGTCTTGCCAACCACACCCAGTTGGGAACTCGGGCTTCTGAATCACTTTGGTGCTTATGAAAATTTGACCCACAAGTTCGATGGAAAACCAGTGTAACTTGTGTTCCTTAACACTCGTAGCTTGTTTTGAAAATCTCCCCTTAGAATGGCATGCTTTCTTGTTTGTGGCCTTGTGTACAAAGTGAACTCCCACATACCCACTTACAACCAAAGCATCTGGGAATTGTAGCTTATGACCTTGAAATGTACTTTATCCTTGCCATGTAGATAAACTAAAGATGAGAGAGAAACAAAAACAGTATATCTATGAAATAAAATACCAAATATGTGAAATGGTGCTATCTATTTACCATTCCTTATATCGCTAGCCATTTAACCTTACTCACTGGAAATTCAATTAACAGTTTTATGAGATAAACAGCAAAGATAGACATGATAAATAATTCTGTGTAATATAAATGATCTATAACTGCTTTTGTACTTAGACAAGTTGCTTTTATTATTATTTTTTAATAAAGCTTTTATAACCAAGGTTTTTTCCTCCCCCCCTTCCTTCCTGGTCAGAAACAAAGCTCTGGATGGAACTTGTAGGTCGTTAGCCTCCAGAGACGAGCTTCTGTAAACCTCTGTGTTTCAAAGGTGTGTCTGGCAATGAATTGTATTGGCAACCTACTGTAGACTCATATTGGGTGCCTTCTGATGCTAAGACTCCAGACATTATGTTGTTATTTTTCTTTCTTTCTTTTTTTTTTTGGCTTTGCTTTCCTGATTTTATACCGACTGTGTGGACTAAGACGCAATGAAATAAAAGTCAGAATAACTCAATGGCTTCAGCTAATTATTGTGTAGGCCTTGATTTTGAATGTGTCATCTCAGTCCTTTACATGGCCTTCACACAGGCTTTGTGTACGTGGCACACTGCAGAGATACCTGATCTAGCTAATGTAACCAGAGGTAGTTAGGAGAATCTGCACATTACTGCATTGTATAGATATGCTCTTACCATGAGAGTGTTTTACTCTGGGCAATACATTCCAGGTCACGAGTAGTCTGCAGCCAATCTAGGGGCTCCTGAGGCTTAGTCTGAGGCCTTAGCCACAAGATTATTTTTGGTGTCTTCATATTTTTCGGTAAGTATTGTTAGCCCCTTCTTGTGCCCAGGTACACAGAGTATACAGGCACTTCATTCATGCTGACTCTTTACCAGAGGCAAGGCCTGGAGTGGGGAATGGGGCCACCTTCTCCACCTCTCCCACCATGCTGCTCAGCACAGTTGAAATGGTTTGGGGAGGGATTGTGCTTTAATGCTTTTATAATTTTTTGGCCATGGGATTGTTCCCTGCCAAGCTGCACTGTCAGAGGGAGGGTGGCTCAGTGAGTTGAATACTGCTTTAGAAAAAGAGTATCCAACTCCATGGGTCCGAGTCCTGACCCCAACCTGAAGATGCCAAAACTATACACAGCTATTTTTCCATTTTATACAAAGAAAGTCCAGAACCCAGGGATCCCTCCCCACCAACACACACACACACACACACACACTCTCCCTCTCTCTCTCTCTCTCTTCCAGGGCAGCATCCATCTCATGAAGCGCCCCATCTTCCTCTGGTGGGTTCTCTTCCTGGCCCCGCATATCTTCTCCTGATTGCCCAGTGGGTCAGCTTCAAGGAGAGCACTAGAGTGCCTTACTCTGGACAGAGGTCCAAATCCCCTCTGGCCAAGGGGAGCCTATAATTCAAGTCCTGTTTTCTGAGTAAGTGCCCTGATGGGCGAATGCAGAGGGGGTGCAGTGGCATGGCTGCATCCCTCTTTTGGACTGCACCATACCTTAGGAAACTAAGGACTTTTTTAAGTCCCCAAAGCAGATGAGAATCCTGCTGCCCCCTTCCTCTGTATGCTCACATTTACATCCCCTTCTCTCCGCTCCACCCACCACTGCTGCCACTGCCACTGTCTCTGGCACAGCCCAGCTGGAGCAGGCTGGAGTGACTCTGAAGCTTCCCCATCTGGGGACAGCAGGAAAAGCAGCAGTGATGAGTGAGAGAGGGTGGAAGGGATAAGACATGACTGAGCACAGAGGGGAAGGGTGGGGATCCTTACATGCCCTGAGGACTTAAAAATGCTCCTGCAGCAATCTTCTAGCACCAGTGTGTGGAGAAGAGGGAGGAGGCTGGGACAGAGGATGCAACATCCCTGAAGCATGGGTTGCTGCTCCCACACCCCTTTGTCAAATCCTGGATGCACCTCTGTCCAGGTGGTTGGGCTGAAAGCTCCTTGTAAAAGCCTGTCATTTTACCTCTGGCAGGTAAGCACGCCCCAGTGGAGTCTATTCTGCCACAGCTGGAAACAGAAAACAAACTGCTTGTAAGTATCAAGACCACAGTTAGGCAGCTCCATAGGTGCCACTTCAGTGTGTAAAGTGGAAATAGGATTTAGCCTTTTGTCTGTGTTCTGCCAGTCTCTGTTATCATCACATATGGTGAAGCCTCAGCCTCAGCCTCAGCCTGCCATATTTAAAATCTTCCATAGTTTCCTGCTTCCTTTCCCAAACTGAAGAGTCAGTAGGCATGATGTCACTGCAGGCTTTGACAGGCCCTGACAATTCCTCTAACACACTTTAAATAACATGAGCATTTCAGTGAATGTGTTGGCAATATGATCCAAAGCACCCAGGTCCTGAGGGTGCAGTTCAGTAGGAGATGTGGGGGATTAGCAGGCTGTGAGCAGTATGTACAGCCTTAATGTCTGGCAGTGAAACACTGATGCTTCCATTCATCCATGGCTCTTAGCCACTCACTGAGCTCAGCAACTGGAATTGGCAGAAATGCAATGGTTTACACTTGGTCACCTCCTAAAGCTAATTATTAATAATGAACCAAATCCCAAGGCTCTTCCTTACTGTTTACTCAGGGTAAACTCAGCCCTTGGTTGGGATAAACTCTTGCTGGCATCAATAGGAATCAAGTCTGAGTAAAGACTTAATGGACCCTGTGTGACGAGCTCAGGACTGGTCCAGGATAAGAAGCATCCATCCCAATATGCCCAAAAGGATAATGTACTGAAGGGACCTGTACACAAAACAAATCACAGTCACCTGACAAGACATACAAGGTTGCTTGAGACGTGGCTGTGGTTTGCAGCCCCCAGCCATTATGAGGGCCTGGATACCAAGGAAGATAGGGGCCATGCAATGTTCCTTCACAGAGCAGATCCTGAGCTGGAACGGCCATACCCAAGGCAGTAAAATCCCTACTAGTGCAGGGAGCTGGTACTACTGGCCTCCCTCAAAGGTACTTTATGTGCTACAACTGTGTGCACACCTAGGCTAGAGCTGGATGGCAGGCAGTATCACTCCCACTTGGTCTCTGCTGACAGATGGGGTAAGGAGAGAACAGGCATATCCTTCCTAGTACCTTCCCAGCATCTACAAGTTGGAAGGATCCAACACGGGCCAGTTTTACAAGCCCCACTCCTGAGTTTCAGCTCCCTGATAATGGATTATTTTCCAAATGGGGTGAGTGGCAGGAGCTACTGACTCGATCTATTCTCCTCCTAGTTCATCAAGGGCAGTTTTTCAGCCTGCTGCTAAATTCATTCATCTGAGGTGCTTCTCTCACCCACTAATGCACATACCTTCAAATATTTCCAGGCATCTAATTCTCAGTGAAACCAATGGCACTTAAACGCCTCAGGGGATCTAAGTCTAAGTGAATTGCCCAAGGTCACACAAGAAGTCTGTGGCAAAGCCAGGACTCAAACCCAGTCTCTCAATCATACTAGACAAGATTTTTTTTTTCTTGCAACCCTAATTGAATATGTAGGGTGGGGGGGAACATTAACATTTTTTTTTTCTTATGAGAAATGTTTGAAACAACTATTTTCTATTTGAATACACTTTTTGAAAAGAAAGGTTTGTTTCATTTTGAATTAAAATGCAATTTTGTTTCAGTTTGTAAAACACTACAGCTAATTGTGTTCTAAATAGAAGCACATTCATTGTTTGAAATCAACATGGTAACGTAAACTATTGCACCATTTCAGGGATCTTCTTAAACCAAAAAGGGCATTTTTAAGTCAAGGAATGTGATTGTTTTAATGTAATCTGAAAGGTCAATTCAAAATGAAATGTTTCTTTTCCCTCAGGAAAAAAAAAATCTTAATTTTTCATGAAATTACTTTCCCTCTGGAAAAAAATGAGTTTTATTGAAACTATATTTCTTCATGAGACAACATACTATGAAAAACTCTTTACCAGATTTTGAGTCCATCTTCTTTTCTGTAGTTAACACATCAAACCCCAACAGCATTGAAGTGCCAAGGAATTCTATGCACTCTCTGTCACCCTCAAAGCAGGATTTGAGACGTAGGGTGCATCTACATGAGATGCTTTAAGATGTTTAGCCTACATTTAAGGTGCATTAGGGCTCACATCTACACGTGTGCACCCTTAATGCACTTAAGAAATGGCAAATTTAGGCTAGTCACACCTAAATTTGATACCTGCAAGTG